TTCATTGCATTATGAGCGGATGTCGAGTTCAATTTAGATTGCACAAATTCAACATATAAATATTACTAAAGTAAAAATACAAAAAGGAGAAAATATATACAACCAAAATCCAAATTCATTAAAAACAGAGGAATAAACAAATCAAGCATGTTAATTTATTTGATAACAAGCCTAGCATAGACTCAAAAAGAAAATCAACAGACGAATAACCTACACCAATTCTCAGTATCATTACTGCATAATCCAAAAACACAAGATCACAAATTTACTTAAAAAATGTCTATACTAAGAATCAACAAAAAGACCGAACTCAGTTTTATCATAAATAAACCAAAGAACCGGGGCAACAAGTATAACAAAAATAAACCAAAATAAACTTGTTTTTGGATTCATGAACTACTCCATACATAAGCAATAACAAACAAGTCTTGGAACAATGAAACCCTAAGCCAAAAATCCACTTAAATTGATTTTGAATAAAATCAATGAAACAATGTTAAAAGTGTAACTATTTATGTTGAAGCAGGAATTCAAAAAATCATGTAATAGTAGTATTCGACAGAAAATTGAATACAACAAGTAGTTGTCGAAATGTATGCCGTAGTCGAAATGTGTAGCTGTCGAAGGAGTTTGCCTCGACAAAATTAAACTTAGCATTTATTTTATATTTTAGCTGAGTTAGTTAGTTAGTTAGAAATTGCTTGGTGTACAAGCAATCTCAGCTATAAATAGGGAAGTACCTTATCATTATAAAGTGTGAAGAAAAGTTGAATAAAATTTATGTTTTAAAGTAGAAAGAAACTCTGCAGAATGTTCTTCTCCTTTCACTTTTATCTCAAACTCTAATTTCTCTTTTCTTTCCCAATTCATCTTTCTCCTCAAAATTTTGTGCAACAGGAATCATCTTGCAATCAAGGTGTGGTTCATTCACTCTAGTAAATAGTAAAAACAAGAGGGGAAATCAATCAGAAAGATTGATTCTTGTTCATCAAGATTGATTCGAATTAGCTCCAAGATCGAGGTTTAATTCCAACATCTGATATCTATAGCACTGATTGTGTGATTCTTGGGAAGCATAGCGCGGTGAATCATCCAAACAGGCATTTTCTAGCAAGTATTCCAATCCTGAAAGATAAGAATTATGAGAATTGGTGTAAGTAGATGAAGATTGTTTTTTGCTATCGAGATCTTTGAGATATTGTGAAGGAAGGAGTAATGCTAATTGGAGAAGATGCTACGGGTGAATAAAAGGCTGCACATAAAGAATTTAAGAAGAAAGATTATAAATCTCTCTTTATAATTCATCAATGTGTTGATTTAGATAACTATGAAAAAATGAGTGATGTAGAATCAATGAAAGAAGCATGATATATTCTGAAAAAATCATTTGGCGGTGCAGAAAAGTTGAAAGAGGTCGTCAAAATAAGATCCAAGTGTAAAATTGTTTAAGAATACTAGTGATAGTGATTGATTAAGTATCATTGGTAGTCTTAAATATGCCACAAGTTATACTAATCTAACATTGCATATGTCGTAGAATTGTTGTACAAATTTATAAGTAGACCGAGAAATGATCATTGTAAAGTCATTTAGAGATTCATGTGATACTTTCAGAAGGCCATGAATCTCAGTTTAATTATTAGAGATTTCGTGTTGTACTTGAATGATATAGTCATGCGGATTGAAACACCTTATCAGATGATTCAAAAGAAATTAGTGGCTATATATTTAGTATAAGTGGTGGAGTTGTATCCTATAAATCAAAGAAATAGACTATCTTGACTAAACCCATGATGAAGTCTGAAATGATAGCATTAGCAACCACTAGTTAAGAAGAAAGTTGGTTAAGATGTTTGCTAGATTAGATGCCTTAATGGAAAAAACTTATGTCAGATGTGTTGATCCACTACAACAGTACCACGACTATTATAAATATTTAAAATAGTTATTATAATGGTAAAATACGTCAAATTAGAAGAAATCACATCGCTGTTAGTTAAATATTTTTTAAAGGAGTTGTAAGAGTGAATCATGTACGCACTGATGAAAATTTAGCAGATCCTTTGACGAAGAGATTAGCTAGAGAGAAATTTTATAATACATCCAATAAGATGGGACTAATGCCTATAGAGAAATGAGTTCATCATGATGATAACCTGGCCTAAATGAATGGAGATTCCAAGAAATAGGTTTAATGGATAATAACAAGTTGTGAGTAATATGATGTGGCCGTGCTAGTATAAATAAGAGAGGCATGAATCTTGAAGTGAAAAGAGGATGAGATAATATAAAATCTTAATGAGATCTATCCTCTGTTTGATGGAGTACATAGCTATATGAGTACTATTGATAGACTCACTTATGTGACTGTGGAACTTAGGTCGGTTTCTATGGAATTTCGAGGCAGGATTCCTATAGCCTTCACTAAACTAGGTTACACATGCAAGGCCATTAAAGCACCGACTGTTAGAATACACCTTAAGAAAATGTTGTGTGCGACTTTGATTTATGAGGTAGAGTTTAAGACAATTGTGTAACTATTGTTAAACCAGAATCTTACTTGCTACATAAAGGTTCAAGTCGTAGACACTTTTGTTCATGTACAATCTTAGAAACGTTTGACATTATTTCCTAAACACATTTTTAAATTCAAATGGAGGATTTTTGGAACATGTCATATTCTAATAGGGAGGTAAATTTGAAATAGTTCCTTAAATTCCACATTGTGTGTTAGTTGAAAAAAATTTTTAGTCCCACATTGCTTAGGTGAGATATCTTAGCTAGCTCACTTTATTATATAAGGTAATTTACTGTTTCATTCTAAAACACATCAAAAAATTTTATAGAGTTTTTCCTTCATCGCTTTCATAACACTGCGTCTTTTGAATTGCTGAAGCACCAACATCTCCCCCTTTCTTTCTACTAATTGAATTTTCTGAGTATTTTTCTTGAATTCTCTTTAGAGAATTATGTTAATTTCTCCTCGTTTGAGTTGAGAAATTTTTAAATATTAATTTTTTTATTCTCTTTAGAGAACTATTTTAATTTCTCTTTGTTGGAGAAATTATTTTGAGTGGTCAATTGACCATTATTAAATTCGCTTTGGATAATTATTTAAATTTCTCATCTTTTGAAAAATTATTACGACAGATCTTTGTACCAGATACTACGAGTGATATTGATACCATATTTGAATGATTTTTGTACTATCAGAGGTTGTATTTCTAGACCGATTACCTACCTTACAAGTAATAATCGTATAATATAGAATTGAGTTGTTTTATCCGAGAAATGGCGTGATAGTTCGACTGCTTTACATATTTTTAAACAATACCGCAAAAATTCTTATGGAGAACGAATTGTTTCCCGACTCATTAACTTCTTATTTGACTATTTTCAAAATCCAAAAACAACATATATGTTACAAGAGTATATTCAAATTGTTAGTTATTTGTGGAATTTTGCTACTATATTAATAGTAGGGGTGTTCAAATCTAAACTGATCTAAATAAAAACTACAAATCGATTCAAAAAAATTAAAAACCGCAAAAAACTGAATATTTTTTAATGTGTTTGGATGTCATTTTATAAAAATCATTCAATTCAAATTCAAATTCAAATTGATTTTTTAAAACCGAACCAAACTTTTCTTTTATTATTTTTAATACTATTTTTTAGTTTAGTTAAACCTTGTTAAATTTATTTATTTTTAATATTTTATTTATTTCAATCATAGTTGATAATTTTTATTTTATAATATTAATTTTTAATATAATATATTATACTAAATCTATTATTTATTAACACTTTTATAATTTTAATAAAAATATAATTTATAATTTAAACATTTAAAAATAATTTAAAATAAATCGTATAAAATTAAACAGAATTGAATTGAATTAAATTTTTTTAATCAATCATTTAAAATTAAATTAAATTGCAAATAAATTTATCATTGAAGTTTTTACTTCAAAATTAATTCAAATCAAATCGCCAACATTCATAATCAATAGCAAAATAAAATAAAATGTATATTATTTATTTGAAAACTTAGATATCTACTTTTTATTTGTGCCACCAACATTTTGTCTATTATTTTTAGTGGCATCATTTCACAGGACCGCATTAAATTTAGTGGCATTTGTTGCCTGTCCGTTACTCTTGTTCTAGAAACTTTGCCACAAAGCTGCTAGTATTAGTGTTATGAGCATGTTAATAATTGCGACTGTTCTAAACCGCCTTTAACATAAATTTCTAACAGTTGCAACGGTTTCCAGTGTTCTTTACTCTTTTGTTTGAAGGTAATAAATATCACGATAATTTCAAACTTCATGTCTAATTGCAATTGTGTTGCTATTTATTTTTTTAAAGGCAACTTCAATTGTTAGTAATAAATGTTTTAAATTTTTTATAACGGTTTGAACGGTTGTAAAATATTAATTGTTAAACTTTTACTACAAATCGGCTGTTGCAAAGTTTTAGCCGTCAATAAAAAATTCTAGCTAGTTATTAAATAAAAATGTTCATAAAAATCATTCCTCTAAATTAAAAAAACTAATAATGAGTCAATTGATTATTTAGAACATTTTAACTATTTTATATATTTAAATATCAATTTTTTTTACAAAAATAAACTCAACTCATATTATTAATTAATCGTGGTTCAATACAAGGAGAAATCAAATAGAGAGCATCACAACTAGTTTAAAAATTGGTTGGTTTAGTTAATAAGTAAGAAACCGAATTCTTTTAGTGTTTGATAAACTTCACCTCGAAGTTGGAACATCTTCGTCCTTTCCTCCATATTACATATATCGTGAATTAATAATCTCGTCTCATTGAATATGTGCAGCCTTGGTGCGATGACTGAGTTCAACCCCACCGTATTTCAGGACTGTATATTTGTTGTACATCTAAAACACACGTGTCACTCATCTTCTAATCCTTTTTCACACAATTGACATATAGCCGGACACAACATATTATTGATGAAGTTGAACTCATGTTGGGAGGCAGCCGCGACATATCTGCCTTAATAATTGTTTAGCTTTTGGTGGTGCTTTAATCTTCCACAAGATACACCAATCACCCTATAAACTTCGACATCACCGGTCACTTTGGATACGCATCAGCAGTTTGTAACATGTTTTGAAATTATAATCACCATTTTGTTCCTATTTCCAAACCAAACAATCCTCACTTACATCTTCCAAAAGGGGCACGTCTAAAATTTCCTACACTGCATCATGTATGGATATTTGTTTGATTTTCGGTATATCCCATTGCTTGATATTATTAAGTATAAGGTTATTAACATAAATATTGTACACACTTTGGCCTTGTGGTGCACCACCCAACCATTTCTTTCGCTTCTCAAACATGGCTCAGACATCACCTTAGTTTTTCTTCCATCACCAATCCTCCATCTACACTCAAGGGTTAACACATAACGAGTTTTCCATAAGCTTCTCCAAACATAGCTAGAATTATTTCCAAGGTTAACCTCTAAAAAAGAAGAGCGAGGGAAATACCTTACTTTAAAAATCATGGCTACCAAGGTGTTCGGATTCGTCATAATATGCCACTCTTGCTTCGCCATCATAGCTATGTTGAATGCCTCAAAGTCACGAAAACCAAGACCACCTTCATAAATCCATCTTATAACTTTATATTATTATTGTCTCCCCACCAAAATAAGTTCAACATCTTCTCTATATCATTCATTGTAGTATTTGGGATAACATAGACACTTGATAACTCACTTTATGTGAGATATTTAATTCTTTTATACTTGGGTTTTAGGATAATTTATATCTTAAGTAATGTAATTTTATTTATATTTTATGTTACTTTAGTTAATTAGGATAGAGCATGCTAGATGCTCTCTTTTGTCAATTTTATATGTTTTGTGTTTGTGTAGAATCAGCTTTCGTGACGACTTTTATCACATCAGGAAGTGTCACGCCAAAAAGTTATACTCAGCAGGTCTTGAGCCTGAAGATGTTGGTATGAGTTATTAACTTAAATGTTAATGCTGATGTGATAGAGATTTGTGAAGAAAATATGGTTGATTTTGAGAAAATGAATGGATAAGGATGAAATGCTACAAGACAAAGGAGAAAATGAATGGATAAGGATGAAAATCCTACAAGACAAAATTCTAAAAAGTTATCAAAGTTGTTGTTGCTGCCACACTGCTACTACAACTCTGCCGCAGTGTCATGTTTTCTCCCATGTGCAGTGTACTATCATAGTACAACACAAAGGAATATGCTTTATTCTTTGGGTTTAAGTTAATGGATCATTATAAAGGCCTAAGAATCAAAGGGTGTAACGCCCCGATTTAATTTAAATTAATTTCATGATTTAATTATGTGATAATGAGTGTTCTTATTGTGTGATTGATGTTTTTATGTATTAGAGAACCCTTGAGTGTAGGGTAGTAACCTTGGAAAATATAGCCTTTGGAGTTGGAGGTGTGTGAGTAATAGTGTAAAGATAGAAGGTATTGTGAGTGGAACTAATTAGTAATATTGGTTAATTATTAATTCGTTAAATAATACATATATAGGTATTATTTAATTTAATTAGATAATAAAAGAGTATTATTATTATTATTAGTAGTAGTATTATTAAAGGGAATAAAATAATAGTAATAATAAAATAATAAAAGGATTTTTGGGAATAGAAAAGTGTTAGAGCGTAGAAATAAGAAAAAGTGAGAAGAGAAGCTATGACTCAAGGGAAAGAGACAACCACCATTGTTGAGAGGTAAAAGAATTGCAAGAACTCTAAGGTATGGATGTAGTTATGATTATCTTTTTTTTAATAGGAAAATCTATTATAAGGGAGTATAAGGGATACTCGATCCAAGATTGCAATAAAACTTCTTACCTTCTGAAGCAAAGCAAAGGATTAGTGTTCCAAAAGAAAAAATTACAACCAACCGAAATTTTAGAAAAAGAGGATATCCACGACCAAGATCCCATAATAATTATTGTCCTACACTCATCAAAGTTAAGCATGGAGTCGTTAAAAATAATGTCATTACGACTCAGCCACAAACCCCACACTGTGGCAAGCTAGATCACCGCCATAGTTATTCTCTTCGACTCATTTTTCACTTTAGACCAATTAAGGAAAAAGCTCTTAAGCTCCATCAGAGATAACGTCAATGCACTACCAATCCAACCATAAATGTTCCTCCAAATTTCATTCGAAATCACACACATGTCAAACAAATGCAACAATATCTCGTCCTCAACACTGTAAAACACATACAGTCTATCCAATATAACCCCCTTCTGTATAATTAGTCCTTGGTTGGAAACCTATTGAGGATAAACCTCCACCCAAACAAGGAGATATTCAAATTAACTTTTATCTCCCAAATATGAGTGATGGCAGCCATAATATTTATATCTAAGTTTACTGCATCAATGTTGCTAAAATGCAGAAAACAGGAACTTACAGAGAAAGTTCCCTCATCACATAAATTCTAAACAAACATGTCAGCTCTTGTTCGGTTCATAACAGTTCCTCTTAGGATATTTTTGAACTCCTCCCAAATAGCAGGTCCGACTCCGTCACTGTTTTCCACAATTCCCTCGATGTTCTAGGACCAAGAATCAGTTTCCCAAACCCCAACGTCCTCGATTAAAGACTGATTTCCTAACCAATTTGACTGCCACAATGTCGTGTTCTTCTCGTTTCCAGCTTTGTAAAAAACGACCCTTGCGAAACTATGCTTTGCATAATTGAAATAGTTGTCGGGAGTAATTAAATCTCGCCACCATATTCAGTCTTTATTAGTTAACATAGAATTATCTCCAACTAGCACTTTGACTTTGACATTGCCATATCTACTACTTATAATTTCCGCCCACGGAGGTTTGAATTCATTCAAAATACGCCATCCCTACTTGTTTAACATAACTAAATTCATGACACCAACATCTTTAATACCCAATCCTCCATTATCAAGGGACTTGAAAATGTTACTCCAACTTACCTAATGAATGAACCTTTTATCCTATTTCCCATTCCATAAGAAGTTGCTTTGAATTTTATGAATTTCTTGCAAAACTTTAGTAGGTGCTTTGTAAAAGGATAACAAGTATATAAGAATAGTATTTAACATAGAATTAATCATCACTACTCTCCCCACAAAGGATAGCTTCCTACCCTTCTATAAAGGCAACCTATTTTTAATTTGGTTAATCAAATATTTCCACGTTGATAACTTCCTTGGACTATCCTCGACTTTGACACAAAGAAACTTTAATGGGAAACCATCAATATCACATGCCAAAAAGATCGACGCGGCTTCCATAATGGGTTGTATAATGGGTTGTGGTAGGGGTTAATTACTTGTTAGAACTAAATTCTACCACATGTGATAAACCTTCAATGGTGAAATTATGTTTTTTTAATGATATTGGGAACAATTGATAATGAGAAAATGCATGTTGGTATTGATGTAAATTGGTGTGATTTAATTGTGTGATTTCATGTGTTTATGTGTGTTTTGGTAAATTAGAATGTTGATAATGAGGCATATGAATAGGAGTTGAAACTTGGAATCTGATTTGTGCATTGTGTGAGAGTTAGGGGTATTTGGGTGTGGTGAAAAACAAATTTTTGTACTTTGAAACAGCAGAAAACTGCTTCTATCGCAGTGGAAATTGATTTCCACAGATGAGGAAATTGATTTGACAGTGCATTTTTGTGAAAAGTTGGATTTTGGGTAGTGGAAATCGATTTCCATCTTTTGGGAAATTGATTTCCAATTTGAAAATTGGGAAAACTGGCTTCTGGAGTGGAGGAAATCGATTTCCTGAAAGAGGGAAATCGATTTCCATCCGTTCTGGTAGCATTTTTGTAAAACTTCAAAATTTCATAACTTATGCTTTGGGTATCCGTTTGATGCGTCGTTTGAACATGTGGAAATCTAACACAATGTAATTTATTGTAAAAATAGTTCAAGTTTATGGAATTAAAAGCGTAATGAGGTTTTGTGGTGTTAGTGTATGATGTGGTATGATGTTGGTGCTTGTATTTTCTAAAAACTTTATAAATTCATATCTTGAGCTGTGAATGTCTGATTGACGTGCTGTTTGAATTGTTGGAAAGCCGGTTTTGTGTACTTTGACTTAAAATAAACTTACGTACTAGAATTATAATTATTCGATGTGTGGACATGTGTTTGGTGTGTAACGAGTTATGTTATTTTGTGGAATATGTGCAAATGCATTGTGATTGTTTGCTATATCATTAGTTTGTTGTTGTATGTTTTGGCAGGTGTTTGGTGCATGGTGGGTAGTAGTGGAGAGTTACATTGACTATGGTGAAGTTCTTTGTGTGTGTTGTTGTGTTGTATGCATAATATTTCACATGCATTCATGGTGTTGGACGGAGGTCGGTATTTTGTGAGCCTCAATCCCCTTGTGTGGATTGGGTGTGAGTAGATAATTCCTATGGTAATGGATTATTTAAGCGTTACATTGGTAACGATTTTGAACGGAGGTTCTTTTGGAGAGCTTCGATCCTAGGTAGGGATCAGAGCAGTGAACCTGAGAGTTCACATCTTAGTACCACATACATTGAGTCTATGTCATTGTGTCTCATTGCATTGCATTGGTGTGTTTTTATTGTTATGTAGGTGTGGAATATGTTTTTGGAATGTATGTTGTGCTTGTAATAATATGTTGCTCACTTTTTATTATGCATTCTATTATATAATTATGATATCTCACCCTTACTGTTTGAATGTTGTCTCTACGTGATTAATATGCAGATACTCAGGAGCAGTTCAGCGTTAAAGTGAGTGAAAGATGGAGTCTTCCTTTTATTTTTATTAGAGTCGGCGTCTGCTCTAATGTGCAACATTGGGGACCAGAATGTTTATGTTATTTATGTTTGTGAGAGATTATTTAGAATCTCTAGAATTGTTATAACTATGTCTATTTTGTTTGGAAAAACAATTATGCTTTAAAATTATCAAATTGTTATGTGTTGATTATTTTCCGCTACTTAATCAAAATTTGGAGTTTCAGACATGTTTTGTTATTATAATGATTTTTAATAATTTTTGAAATAGTATGTGTTACATGTCTGATTTCATGAGCAGTTTTTGTTGAGTTGTGACATCCTAAATGTTATGTATTAATATTACTTTGATAATTATTATAAAATCCACGGGGGGATATTTAGGGTATTACATAGTGGTATCAGAGCATGGTTGGTCCGTCTAGATAAGTTGTCTGACGTTGTTTGTTCCTTAGCATGCGACATATGTTTGAAACATTGTCGAAGCTCGTTTTTTTTATAGCCAGTTGTCTGTAGGAGTTGGTTTGCAACAAGGGAGGGAGAAGATTTTTCTTCTCTGTGATGTTTCACTTATGGAGTGTTGGTTCGATGTGCTGCTTGTGATACAGTGGCAGAACCGACTGTTATATACTAGTTTTGCATTTTGTGTTTGCAAATGTTGCGGTAAGTAAGAGTCACCACCGACTTTTCTTTTATCCAACTTAAGGAAAGGGTGAAAAGAACAGAAACAGACCTTTTTGAGATTTTTCTGAGTAAGGGGGGGGGGGTTGATTA